TTCCCGCTTCCCCGCTCTCGTGCTGCAGTTTTCTGCTTTCCATGTTTTCCATTTCTCTGCTAAATTCAGTTCGGAGCCGCAGGCTGCCGATATTTGTTTGTGTTTTGTGTTTTTGACTGCCTTCGATTTTAATGTTCTTTGAAAAATCACAACTAATTAACTTTGCCTACAGCTCGAAATTATGATTAGTACGAACTGAAGCTGTTTGCCCCTCGGGTTTATGGTGTTGTTTTGTGGTTTGTTTAGTTTCCATGGCAATAGTGATCATGGGAAGGGACTGGGGCCAGAGGGCGGTCAGTGCAGCGTAAAACAGGGCTGTTAAACTGGCAGCCAGATGTGTGATGGGAGCGTGTAATGCAAGGCAGCGTGTTGCACGCCTTTTCCCATATAAATAGACACATGCACATATGGGTATATTGCTTCCGGTTCTCCGTCTAGTGAGCTTTATGGCCATTGAAATTGCTTTAAATGATCCTTGACAACGACAAGGTGAGGTGTCTGGTGGCTGTCATGTAGACAAGCTACCTACTTACATAAATCAGCAAATTCGTCAAGCCATGCCAAGCGATAACACATACAACGAAGTGATGAAAATTCCTGACTACTAAGCCTCAACCAGCTGGTAGGAAACATGACAATCCGCATAGCATCCACACTCCTCTACAAAATGGAACTTCAGGCATCAATCAATAGGAGCTAACTACTTGCAGGGTAAAAGTTCATTATCCCTAAAAATGTTACGTAAAATAATAGTTTCAAAAACAAAGCAGGAAAACAAAGTCTATGGAATATACCAAAAACAATTATATATGTTCATAACATATAGCAGCAAACATATTTCATTATGCTTTGCTTATACTAATACTATAAAGAGGAAAGATTTAATTGTTTGTTTGTTTGTATGCTTATTTCAATTAAATAGGCTTCGAAACTACTGGACCCATTTCAAGAATTCTTTCACTGTTGGGAAGCTACACGATCCCCGGTTAACATAGGCTATATTATGTTTGCCAAAAAGATTGGGATCCTCACTAATGCAACGTACCTTACAAATTCCAGAATATGATACTGTTAGCTAAGAATCATCCTCAAAACATTATCTCACTTTAAATATTAAGGCAACAATTTTCAAAAGCCCCCAGCCAAATAAAAAATGACAAATCGACACATAACACTCCCGTGCAAATCGCGATAGGGTATATTGAAGGTAAACTAACTTCTTAACAAAATAATGCCATCGCAATGCCTGAGGATTCATATAGTAGTATACGATTTTGATTTGTCCCATTGTTAACTATTGAGGTGGAATATTTTTAGTTATTCCTTTGAAAGCATATTTGGTATAAAGTAATACAATACTCGAAATTCGAATAAGTAACGAAATTATAAGCCGCAGTACATTTTTTGTTTTATCGATTGATTATGATTTATTCTGAATTCTCATTCCACTTCTTAGTTGGTTGGGAAACTTTGCTTAATTGAAACTTTGCCAGTCGCGCCCTAACAAGTTCATAAAAACAAGTAATTTTTCCGTTGCGCTGCGGCTGATTATTTCCATTGGAGTGCATTTATTGTGCTGTGCGTGAAACTTTGAAGGAATGCCGCCGATAAGTAAATGTTAGATGAAAACTTTTCATCATGAACAGAAGCAGCAGCAGGAGCAGCAGCAGAAACAACAGCGCCACCTGGCCTAGGGCCAGTGTGGGCCGCAGTTTGGTCGTCTGCTTGGGGCCCCACGCAATGAAAGTATTTATTAAAAGGAACTTGGCCAGAGCTCTTGATGTGGCTCGACTTGGGGATGTCGAGGTTGGCTGCATTCTAAAGTTTGCTGCTCCAGATGCTCGAGCGAAGACCGCCGAGGCGCATAAATGTCACTTACGCGCTCCTTCAAGGCTACGCTATTGTCCGTTCAGTTGCTCCGACCCCTTTACCACTAACTTGAACAAATTGTGAAAGTGACAATTTCGACAGCCGAGCACAATGCCACACTCTACCATGCACTCATCGACACACACACAAACCCACACACACAGAGACAGGGCGAGGGGAAGCGTTTGCCCAAAGTGCAAGTGCAAATTCAGTTTGGTTTAATTTCGGCAGGCTGTGGTTGTCTTGGTCCTTGGCGTTGTTGTTGTTGTTGCTGTTGCTGCTGCTGCCGGCCCGCAACGCCGCCATGGCCGCAGACACTCCACTCATTGACCAAACGACATCAACATTGTGAACGTCAGCTTCAATGTTCTCGTCCTTATATATGTTTATGTAGATATATATGTACTATACATATATATAGTATGGTATGTCGCCGTTCGCTGCGGCGTCAACGTCAGCTGCGATCTTTATTAAGTTTTCGCTTACTTTTCGGAGAGTGCGGCAAAAAGTTTTGCCAACAAGTTTTTCTTCAACCAATTTTCTTGTTTTTCTACGTTTCGGCTTTTGTTTTCTGGTAAAGATTTCACTTGCTGCTTTTCTCCTCCATCGCCAACCGCCTATTCTGCCCCTCAATGGCCAAGTGTCCTTTGCATGTTGTTGTTGTTTGTAGATGTCTCTTGGCTCCCCCTTTTTAATACTCGCCTTCTCGTACTACAAGTATTCTGCTTCTGGGACATGTACGGGGTTTGCGTTTGGTAACTGGGTTTATTTGTGCTGCAGCAAATATGCTCGATTGCATTTGAGTTATTGTTCATGCCATTGCTCTGCTCTCCTCACTGTAGCTCACCATCTCCTGTCCTTGCTGGCCTCATGTCCTTTTTTACATGCAGCGATGGCTGGTGCCACACACTTCTTTCCTGCTCTGCCGCCCGCCTCTACATGCATATTCAATATTTCGGTATTTATCTTGTCAGACAATAAAATAAAGCAAAATACGCACATTATACCGTCTATTGGACATGGATTCGTGTGCAGGCGAAATAGGTCAGTCGTGTCTAAATGCGGGTGAACGCATCGGCATTGCTATCCTTGTCGGTGCGAGAGCATCGAGGCAGGGGTACATGCCACTGGAATGTGCAAGTGCAGTCGCCAGTTCGCTAAGTGGAACACTCGCTATGAGTTGAGTGTTCCCTCACTTTATTGCTCTAGAAGCTTTTATTAAAGGCCAACACATACCGTCCAATCTTGGCAAGGCGTTTTAGGAGCTACAAATATGTAATTTCCCAAATTATGTCATTCTGCACAGCACCCCAAATGGAATAGTTTGACTGGGGACGTCAGGAACAACTCTACCGCAGCCCCGGTGGTTAACTTAATTTGAAAAGTAGCAGACGAAAATGGACTACCTATCAACAAGTGTATGACCATTTATAGCCTTGGGTAGATACTAATAATAATTTGTGAATCATTTATTAAATTTGAGCAATTTTGTTAACATTAATTTCTTGCTTTTATTTTTAATCTGCTGTAATCGGTAGTATAATACGAGCTTTCTTATTATAAATAAGATGATTATATCTGCTTTGTCTGATCGAAGCATACAGGAGCACAATTATTGAAGCCCTGGTAATTAAATTGTATCAGGACACTTTAATGTCTGGCTTCCTCCAGTAACATCTGCTTTTGTTGTTCTTGCCCTTAAGCTTCTGTAAGCCGAGTGCATTAGGGTTTGCTTAAAAGATTTTTCAAATGTTAGACAGTCTCAAAACTGTCATACCCTTACTAAGCTTAGCTACTATGTATAGCAGGCATTTGCTATTAGGTTTTCTAGCTGAAAACATACACTCGTCTACTCGTATACATATATATATATTTATTTTAAGATAAGATTTTTGTAATAAGATTTTTGGGTATGGCGCAGGAGTTATACCAACAAGTAGTCGATCGAAATGTACCGCAACTGGTCAAGTTGTTGCTCGGCTCGGTGCAGGAGGACGAGGCGTTCAAGGCCTGCCGTCAGTTTTCGCTTGCCACGTTGCGCCACCACAGCTATAAGCCAACTAATGCTCGGAGTGTGTTCCGCAGTCTGAATCATTTCCTGGAGCGCTTCACCATGGAGCGGTTAGCCGAGTTTGGTGAGACGTTCCAGTTGCTCGTCAATATGGTGGTCAAGCACTCGACAGATTTGCAGACTGCTAATGTGGATCTTAAGTGGTCGTTGATTGATTTCATGCTGTGTGCAAACTATGAGGCATTCAAGCATGTCCGCCTCAATAGACGCGATATGGAAGTAAAGCGCTTGGCGCTCATCAAGGCGATTGAAGCCGGGAATGAAAAGCAGGACACAGTTGTAGGAAGTTCAGAGGATGACGTGACTTTTGACGTGATAATGAATCCGATACAACAAATGGACAAGGATAGCGCGAGCTTAACCTCTACATCTGAGACGGAATTGGAGGACGAATGGGAAGTGAGAACACCGACTCGGCAGAGCTGTGATCTTTTTTCGGTAAGCTCATCAATAGATGGGGACACCAGCCAGGTGAGCACTTTGTCAATGACACAAGCTGAGGAGGCAGCGGATAAACAATCACCTTCAGCTGCAGACAATGAAGTTGTGCTAACTGAAACGTTTGTCACACCGGAAGCCGAGTTGACTTTCAGCCTAAATGTGGTCCAACTGAGTCCAGCGGCCATAAAGCCTAGCCAGGTGAACTACTACAGAGGAGCACACGAACTGCTCACCCAGATGCACACCCAAGGCTGGACCGCTGAGATACACATCCATCCAAACCTCTCACATGCTCACACGTCACACAGTTTTGCAGCCTCCTATGCGGATTACATGCAGCACCAGCTCCACAACAATTCGTGCCCTGTGCCGCAGCTGACGCCCGAGTGCTGCTTACTCCGAGAGGTTATCATAATGTTCTTCCATCCACGTGACTGTATCTATTTCCAGCTATTGAATCAACGCATTGAGGCGCGCAGCAGTGTGACAACGACCTGCACCTTCGACCTAGCGGTCGGGAATCTTTTGGAAACAGAAATTCTACCTCCGCTTCGGGAGGTGCAAATGCTGCGCAAATTTATTAACTACTATACATCGAAGTCCGTTGGCTTGGATCACATAAGAACGCTATTCTGGATGGGCGAGTCCCTGTGGTGGCTTATAAAGCCCATTACAGAGGCGTTCCTATATTTTGATCGCCGCCTTTCTTTGGGAATGGAAACGGCGTCCTTGTCGATCTTTTTGAAGCATATGCGAACACCTTTGCAGCGCATTCGACTTTTGTCGCAACTGACTAGCCAGAGCTATCTGTGGTTCTTCAATCACTTACACCCGTTGGCCCATGTAAGAAGTCTCTACACGCTGTCTAACTTGATGGGCCTGGCCACGGTGTTTTCAGGTGTTGAGCGAGCCCATGCCATAGTTCTGCTGCTTCAAACTCTGAGGGCCTATTGTGATTTCCTGGACAGCTGGTGGAGGAGTGGCGACTTCAATGATTCGCACGGTGAATTTCCAGCCTTGCGTCTCAAGGTGGACCATCGCACTGTCTATGGAATGCGTCCGCTGGACTGCGTGGAGAAACAGTTGACAAATAATCGAATATATTGGCTGATCCAGCAGCATGTATTGCTTGTCGGTCCGGCCATTGCTCTGCTGTACGATACGTTACGTTTGGCGGATTTTGTCAATGAGCACGAGACCTTTCTAACGAAGAGCTTACACAGTTCGCTAATGGAAGGGGTGCTCCGAAATCTAAAGCCCTATATACTGTCCGGCAAAGTTATTCAAAGCTCTCCAAAAATACCGGACATTTTGCAACAGCTACGGGCCACAGAAGACCCTGAGCTGCGAACATTGCTCTTTTCCTATTACAATGAAACGCTGCCAGATCGGAAACAGTCTGCTCGATGTTCAGTTCCCGAGCTACTGCGGCGTTTTGCGAACTGCGTCGAATATACGCCACTGGAGGAGCTCATCTACGTGGAACTGGAGCGACAGTTGGCTGCTCGTAGCTTGCTATTCAATGCTTTCATTGTGCATTTCATGCGGGAGCAGATCTATTTGGGCGGTAAGCTAAGACTGATTCGAAGTGTTTGCTTGTGTTTGGACATAAACATATTTCGGGAGCAGTTTGATCCGTTCTTCGAGCACTTAGACCAGCATAATTTTAAGAAATCTTTGAAGCAACTGCACTACATTATTGCGGCTCACAACCCTAGGCTCTCATATATCTTTGGATTGGAGCTAGGAGAATCGGAAAAGTGCGCCAATACGCTGCACGTCCTGGAAAGAATTACATTGCACGTCAAGCGCGATACTGCTCTAGCCTGCATTGTGACAAATTCCCAAGTAGCTGTCTATAATGCAGCTCTCCGTATGATGCTTCAGTATTATTGGGCCATTTGGAAACTTTTGCAACTTCCCGTCGAACTCGGCGCTGGCATCATATTGTGCTATGCTAGCAAATGTGCCATTGAGGGGATTCACATCCTTCACAGCAACTTGATGACGGCACTGCATCAGTGGGACTTGCATCCCGTGAAACGTGTGATGGAGCAGGCTGCCAGATGCTGCGATACAGGCATAAAACGCTGTGAAAGTCTCCAGCAACTGCAGCATGTTCACTTAAACTACATTAACTATCTGGCATCCAACTTCTTATCCACCAGTGACAATACGAGCTTCCAAAGTGGATTGCCAGAGGTACTCCAGCTGGTCATTATGCTGACACAGCTGAGATATCGAGTACAGTACTTGATGGTTGATAATTCCCGACCCTTCGAGCCCCAAATCGTACCAGATAAGTTTGATCTGAAGTACGATGAACTAGCGGATGTCTATTACAAGTCCATCCGTCGCATGTGTGTTGGATTGCATTGCATCCTTCAGATGACCTAGCATGCAGGAAATTTAATTGAGTTATCATTATGTCGCATATTGTTGAAGCTCGCTAAAAGCACTAAAGCACATTTACACAAATTCTACACTGAACGAATTTGGACCAAAATATAGCATATATTTAGCGAGAACATCTTGCTTAGTTTTAATTATAAAATGTCAGCTTTTGAGGATTCTAAAAAATGTGTAAATTGGTAAATCTTTATTAGGTTGATTTTGTAAAAAAAATTAAGCCTGCCTGTTCATCAGAGCATGTATGATCTATCATTATCAGCGTTAAGAAAAACTTAAACTAAATGTGGAGGACAAAGCCCTTCTCATCTAATCAACGAACGATCGGTACGAGAATTATGAAGCCACAACTATAATGGCAAAGTGTTGGAAGATCTGATAGAGTGAAGCCGGAGAATTTCTCATTCGTGCGTAGTGTACGCAAAATTTTAGATTTTCTACTAATAAGTATGTAGGTAGATAAGATCAAATGAGTGTAATAGTTCGGTATATTATAAAATGGTAAAAATTGTGTCTCCAAGACACATACGGAATCATCGTAGACCAATTGCTATAGACGACTGTCAGTCCATCTCGGGATGTAATTTAAAAAAGAGCATTTGCTTAAAAAAATAGTTTATTGGAGTCCAAAAGAAAGAAAGAAAAATAAGTAAAACATAACATTGAAATAGTAAAAGATTGTCAAGGTGAGACGTGCTCTTTTAAATGGTGGACCTTTTTGTGACTGAAATTGAAAATGTAATGTAAATTGAAATATACTTTAAAAACGTGATCCATAATCCAAACAGCCACCTCATATTATTGAAGTAGTAACCGATATTAATCCCTTATCCTCATGTAAGAGTATTACAGTAGCTTACTTCGCTTTAAATTTAAGAAAAACATTCTTCATTAGTAAATGACATTTCGCACTACGAATACGGATATTCATATTGCATGTCGACACTGGCTACCAAGAAGTGAAAATGCATAGTTTTTAAGTACGAGCGAAAGTTCAATCTTATTATAGGTTGGATTATAATACCGATTTTTGCAAGTGCAATTGAATCCAGTCGGAGTCACATAAACAAAACGCGGCGTTCAGTGCCAAAAACCGCAAATTAAATCGTAAATCGGACGTTGGCAAATTTATTTCTAGAATGTGACCACACATCCCACACACTCATACACACACTCATACATACACACAGACAGGCACCCACAGATAGCTACTGTCCAGTATTCGTATCCAGTATCGTGACCGTAAAAAAATACGCATATAAAATGCACGGAACAAAATTAGGGGAAACTGCAGACCAAATCAGAGCAACGAGCAACCGAAATTATTTTGCGGATTTTGCGGCCTCGGTTTTCTGTCCTGTTCGCCAGCTGCCTACATATTTGAAATGTTCACACTTATAGCCATAAATTTTCAGCGCCTTGTTGGACAATAAATAAGTCTTGAACACCATTTTATGATGAGGCTGAGGCGCGTTCGTGTGCATTTGTGCGGACTTTTCCCGCCAAGTGTCATAAATTTGCGTCTATAATTAAAGTGAGCGGTGAGTGTGGGCGGCACGATATTTTCAAATTAAAAATCAGTAATTTGCCTACAATTTGAAGGCCCAACTCCAACTCAAACATCCACACCTTACGCCCATCGACGTATAAAGGACTGACTGTCAGTTACGGACCGACTGACTAGCTGTGATTTGTTGGCATTTGGACTTGTGTTGGTTTTTTATTTATTTTTACGAGTTTATTACAGACAACGCGCTTGAGAGGTTGCCTATTTTATGTGTCTGACAGCAGACGGCAGGATCGTAAAATCTGTCCGGGAGTCGTTGTCTGCACTAGAGGACGACAATGACGACGACTTTTTATGCGTGTGCATTCTTCTCATTATCCCCATAACGCACAGTGGTTCATTTTGACTTTTTTAAATGCCAATAACGCAGACATAACATTTTGTGGCCTAAAATGAAAGTATAATTGCAAAAAAAGGGCCGGTAGGGAGCCCGAAAATTAAATTCCTTTTATTATTTTTCCTTCCATATACTTGTATACTTGACTAACTTACGAAGACAGCAATAAAGCTGGTAATTTATAAATTATTTCGCTAGAGTTTAATTCTTCAAACTAATTGTAAATTAAAGCAATTTTACTTCAAGAGCAAAAAACTGTCATTTAGTTCACAATCAGACAACACAAATATTTATAAATACGTTTTGGTTAATTTGAAAGCTGAGTGTTCTCTCCCTAATATAAGGAATATAAATATAAGTCCCTCAAGAATGCACCATTTCTTCTTGCGAACTGTCGAATATTATAAATCCTACCAAAATCAGTATTGTATTGTAGTGTTTTGTTTGGTATTGTTATTTTACATTATTTTTGTGAAATAAGATTTAATGTGCGTTGCCAAACCTTTCGTTCAAGTAAAGTGGAAGAAGAGATTTTTGGATTCTTGTTTCAGTTTGCGAATATTTTCTAGTAAACGGATTGAGGTGCCGACATTAATTTAACATTGAGCAGAAGAAGAGCAGCGTCAACATATTTTTTGTCGACTGCTGATTTCAAAACTATCTCTACATTAGTGGGTTATCTATTCACATATCCATCATGTATTCCTCTAAAAAAAAAAAAAATTTTAACTTTTTCACAATTGGTCTTGGCTCCTGCCACAAAACTACTCGTATGCTTACTCGCCTAAGTAGTTTAAAATCATCGAGAAAGCATTAATCATTTATACAAGTATAGGTTGGTCTCAGAGGTGTGAAATCTACATTTACGAATCTTAATACTCTTCAATTCTTAATCAGATAACAACCTTTTTTAGTTGTGAATTTATTTAAGATCTGTCCTAAAAGGACAATTACTAAATTAGTGTGGGGGGGGGGGGGGGGGGGGGCTTCAAAGACTAAAGTTGAAAGTTATTTGAAATTTCAAATTTTCTTCCCCTCACATGTCAACATTTTTGAAACTCCACCAAAGCTATCTTGTATTCGGATTTGAGAGTGTAGAGTGTTTCGAAGAAGATGGACGAAGTGCGAGCTTTGTGTTTGGCTGAGATCTGAAGAGCTTAGGGAAGCACATTTTGAAATTAAACCACCAGTGTGTACATATTTGTATTTACTTTGTTCCCAACATTTGACCGCAGAAACCGCAATTGCAAACATTTCAAATACCTTTAACATTTTTATTATTATTGCATTTGTAACGACGCTGGCGGCGAATATCGTAAATTAAATTGCATTCCCTTAGTCAAGCAGTTCATTGGCTATTTATGTTTACGCACTGCTTGTTTAGTTACGGTTTGAATTGGCGATTCGTCTTAGCGCCAACTGCCTATGATCGCATTTTTTATTATTCTTGCCTTAGCAGACGAAACAAACAAATTTTCCATAATTGTTTTTATATATGTACAAAAAAAAATTATTTTCTGCAGCCGCACGGCTATCGGCCACCTATGGGTTATTTTCAGTATTGCTCAGTGGCAATATTTGCTAGTTGTCAGTGGCCCTTTCTTCAACCTTGACCTGTCAAAGGGAGATTGTCAGAAGAGGGGGTGAAGCAATTTCCGCAAAGAAAAGTTTTCTTGCGTAGCCTCGGCATCCGGATACTTTCTTTTCGCTTGAAGATCGCATGGGAGCAGGTTGTGCCCAATATACTCTGGCTGGCAAATATATGGTCATACATATAGTATAACCTATAGTCCGTTTCAAATTCGGCTGGGCCAAAGCGTTAAGCCTGCTGCAACAAATTTGGAGAATTTGCAGTAATCTTTCACTTCAATTGTGTTAGCAAAAGGAATTCTGCCTGGTGCCACTTCCGGATATCGGGTAAATTTTACTTTTTCCGTTTATTCGCATATAAAATGCAAAAGCTAATGCTATTTCTTCATTGTACATTGTTTTCGTGCAGAATTGGCACTTAATAAAAAGTCCAATCCCCATAAAGGGCATTAACCTTTGCTTATCGCTTTGATGGGCACTTGCTAGAGCGACGACTAGGAAAAGGGAAGTGCACGGGAGAAGGAGGCGTGCTAGAAACGAGATCGGCGCTTCGCTCAGGCCACTGGAACGGCGAAAAGAATCACCGCCTCAGTTGCGTGGATCATATCCGATATGACGGTCGTCGGCTTAAGCTAGGGCACCTGTTTTTTTTGTTGCGTTTCCGTGCACCGAAAAGGTGGCGAAGCCCCAGGTGGCTTTAGTGAAGAGGGCCTGCGTAAAAAAAAAAAAAAAAATTATAAAAACTATATATATGTAAAACTATACACAAATGTGGGCCCTGCAAAAACAACAAAAAAAGTGCAACCGAGAGAACTAGGCATTTATTTTTTTTCTATTCTTTCGTCTTATATTCTTTTTTTTTGGGTCGTATACGGCCTTATACTTAAATTGATCTATATCCGATGTGAGCAAAGCAGCACGGCCGGGTGTGTAGAGAGGGAAAAAAAAGAAATAAGTGAAAACCAAAGAGAAAAAAAAAGAAAAGAGAAGGCAACAAAAAAAAAAAGGCAAAACAACAAATAAAAACCCCTTTGACTATACGTTTCGAAATAAAATTTTATTAAGCATGGCGACAAGTGAAGGTATGAAAAGTGCATGTTTTTAAAACCAAAATTTCAACATAAAATTTTACAAACAAATTAAAAATCATAATTAATGTGCATGTAAGCAGCAACGAGCCTATGCAGAGCGCCTCAACGGAAAGATCTTTCGACGTTGGACGACAACTGTAAGTAGAACCGTTTGAATTTTATTTACTTTCATGCAGAAGAGCACGCGTACAAAAACAAAAAAAAAAATAAATAAAACACCTGTTCATATGCGTCATATGTCTGCCTGCTGGCCATGTAAAGTCTAATTTCCGCATTATTATTATTTTTTTTTAAATCACCGTAATAACGTTATACTTGATTGCGGTCATTACTTACTTAAATTTATGGCCAATCTTTACAAAAAAAAAAAAAGCGATGCAAGAATTTATAACACTTTAAATAT